GAGTTCAGCCAGTTTTGAGATTCTGTAGCATAGATGAACTCAAAAGTTTTATCCTAAGTGAAATAAGTTGGGCACAAAAGAATAAATCTTATTTGAAATATCTAGAATAGGCAAACTTATAGAGACAGAAAACAAATTAAAGGTTACCAGGGATTGGGGGGTAAGGAGGAATGGGAAGCTATCGCTTAATGTTTACAGAACTTTTATCTGGGGTGATAAAAATGTTTTGGAAGCCGGGCTCGGTGGCTCAGCCTGTAATCCTGCGCCTTTGGGAGGCTGAGGTGAGTGGATTGCCTGAGCCCACAGGTTCAAGACCCGCCTGGGCAACTTGGCGAGACCTCATCTCTACAATAAATCAAAATAGCCGGGCGTGGTAGCGCGCGCCTGTAGTTCCAGCTACTCAGAAGGCTGAGGTGGAAGGATCGCCGGAGCCCAGCAGGAGAGGCTGCGGTGGCTGGGAGCAGCCACTGCACTCCGGTCTGAGCGACAGAGTGAGACCCCAACTCAAAAAAAAAAAAAAAAATGTTTTGGAAGTGGATGATGGTAATGGTTGTACGACTTGGTGAATGTAATTAGTGCCATTGAACTGTACACTTAGGAATGGTTAATATAAATTAGCTACAGTAGTTCCAGCTACTTGGAAGGCTGAGGTGGAAGGATGGCTGGAGCCCAGCAGGTTGAGGCTGCGGTGGCCGGGAGTGTGCCACTGCCCTCCAGCCTGGGTGACAGAGTAGACTCCAACTCAAAAAAAAAAAAAAAAAGAAAAAAGAAAGAAAGAAATGGTTAATATAGTACATTAGTACATTATATATGTATTCCACTATAATAAAAAATGAAATTAAAAAATCCATACCAGTTTTCATTATCCAACCCTCCTCTTTCAAGTTATCATTTATTTCCAAAAAATTTAAACTAGTTTCTAGAAAAAGATACTTATAAGGAGGAGAGAAATTGTTTTTCTTCAGGTTTGCTTTCAGTGTATTTTATTTTTGTCGTGTCTGGCTGATGAAGATCTAATTAGCTATCTTGATCAATCTTAAGGTATATCTTCATAAACTACTTCTAAATTTGTTTATTTTTCATTATAGATAATGAAAAGTGTAACCAATTAAATAGTAATTGCTTTTGACAATAGCTTGATCAGGTAGACATGATTTCATGTGAAAGGTAAAATACTATGCTTACGTGGTTGCAACACATTTGGAGAACTTTGAGAACCTGTCTTTTTCTTAGGCTGAGTGTTGAGACCATAAGTTGGACCAGAAGTTCCTTGAATGCTGCATACTGCTTAGTGTCAGGCACATGGACACACAGACCCTAAATAGTTGCCATATGTTTAATTTGCCCTTTTGTTTAAACAGACATTCAGCAGGGACTGGAGAAAATACCATGCTGTGCCTTTCTGACATAAAATGTTTAGTTTGCCACCTCATCATGTGCCAGTTACTAAATAATCTCCGGAAATTATTTTAAAAGAATACACAATAAAGGTCGTTGGAAAGGCATTTCTTTGCACTGTGGAAATGAGAAGTAAGCACTGTTCTTTTCATTTTCTGAATTTACAGCCTGTGTCTAGGTTTCTCCATTTTCTCATTCAACTGTTTGGCTAACCGTCAAATCTGTATTTCAAATACAAATCCTTTTTTTCTCAAGAATTTTTTTTCCCCTAGACTGTTATAATATCTTATATCCTGGTTGCTTTGCTTCCACTCATGGCTTTACTGTAATCCATTCTCCACCTGCAGCTAGAGCATTCTTTCTAGAGTTGCATTGTCCTATATGGTAGCCATTAACCACGTAACTATTTAAAGTTTCAATCATGATCGGGCTGGGTAGCTCAACCTGTAATCCCAGCACTTTGGGAGGCCGAGGTGAGTGGATTGCCTGAGCTCGCAGGTTTGAGACAAGCCCAGGCAACTTGGTAATACCTCATCTCTACAATTAAAAAAAAATAATTAGCAGGTCGTGGTAGTGTGTGGCTGTAGTTCTTCTGGCTACTTAGAAGGCAGAGGCAGAAGGATCACTGGAGCCCAGCAGGTCGATGCTGGGGTGGCCGTGAGTGTGCCACTGCCAACCTGGACAAGAGTTAAACTCCAATTCAGAAAAAAATAATAATAAAGTTTCAGTAACACTAGGCACATTTCTTTTCTTTCTTTTTTTTTTTTGAGTCAGAGTCTCACTCTGTTGCCCAGGCTGAAGTACAGTGGCACACTCATTGCTACCGCAGCCTCAACCTGCTGGGTTTAGGTGATCCTTCCGCCTCTGCCTTCCAAGTAGGTGGAACCACAGGTATGCACCACCATGCCCAGCTAATTTTTAAATTTATTGTAGAGACAAGGTCTTACCAAGTTGCCCAGGTTGGTCTCAAATCCCTGAGGTCAAGCAGTCCTCTCACCTCTACCTCCCACAGTGCTGGGATTACAGGTATGAGCTACCATGCCCGGCTCACTAGGCTCGCTATCACTCAGTAGCTACTTGTGGCTAGTGACTACCAAATTGTGCAGCACAAATATAGAGCATTTCTTTTTCTTTTTTCTTTTATTTTTTGAGCCAGGATCTCACTCTGTTGCCCACATTGGAGTGCAGTGACACGACCACAGCTCACTATAGGCTTGACCATCTGAACTCAGGCAATCCTTCCACCTCAGCCTCCTGAGTGCTGCGACTATAGGCATGCACCGCCACAGCCAGCTTATTTTTGTATTTTTTTTTTTTTTTGTAGAGACGGAGTCTCAGTGTGTTCCACAGACTGGTCCCGAACTCCTGGGCTCAAGCAATCCTCCTGCCTAGGCCTCCCAAAGTTCTGGTATTACAGACGTGAGCCACCACTCCCAGCCAATATAACATTTCAGGAAATTATGTTAGATAGCATTGTTTTATAACTTAAAGCAAATCACGTCCTTACTGTTATAACTAAACTTCTTTCCATGGCTGGCAAGGCCCTACAGAATCTTGCTTCTCTCTCCCTTCTCATTTCTTTTTACATAATCCTTTATTCACTGTACTCCAGATATATTGGCCTTTTCTGTTCATTGACTATGCCAGATTTCCTCCGCTCCTGTATCCCCCCACCCCTGCTTTACCACAGGGCCTTTGTACTTGCTATTCCTTCTGTTTGGATTATGCTTCCCTCCTAGATCTTCATTTAACTGCATTGTCATCATTTAGGTGTCAACTTAAATGTTACCTCTTCAAGAGAATTCTTCCCTTTCTTCCCCAAGCACCTCCTTTAAGAAACTTTTGATCATATTACCCTATTTGTATCATCTTCATGGCATTTATCCTTAATTAAAATTCTTGTATGTTTATCTGCCTACCTTAAAACTCTTCTCCCCACTCTTATGTAAGGTTCTTATGGTCATGGACTCTTTCTTGTTCACCACTACATAGATCCTGACTGGCACATAATATGTTCTCAGTCAGTACTTGACTATGAGAATCTATCAAACATTATCATCTGAACTACTTTCTTTTTATTCTAATTTATTCTGAGATTTCAGTTCCATTTTCCTGTGTATGGCTTGTTTTCCATTTTGATGAAGGTCATTGCAAACTACTACTTGGTCATCAGATCAGCAGTTTGACAGTCAAGTTACATTGTCTCTTTATTAATACACTTAAGTTAGCATGAAAAGTTGTCTGTATATTAAAATATGTCACTTTTCTACTTACCTATTTCTGCTTGAAAACATAAATCCAATTAACCCATCATTCTAGAGTAGTCTGATAAATTATTACATTAATTTCAGTTTTAAGTTGGAAATTGGTATTATGGAAGATACTCCAGGATTTTGGATGTTATTTTGTCCAAGGGTTTTCTTTTCTGAAAGCAGTGACTAGTCCTGGTTCTTTTGAAGTTATCGCTCATTTTCCCTGACTGTGCAAAGGAATGATAGAAATTCGAAGACTGTTTGAATTTTTCTCATTTTTGTGTTATTAATCTGTTAATATTTTTGGTTTAGATAGAAAAAATAAATTTTATATATCTACTGATTTTATGCTACCGAAGAATACTCCTCAGCCTCTCCATACATGGTTTTCTTCTAAATAGCTTTTATATTTGTTCCTTCTCAGGGTGATCTAATGCATTGTCTACACATGCATAGAATTAAATAGTCAGCATGGTTTGCACAGACACTTTATGTAAAAAACGCTGTATTTTCTACTATAGAAGATAGAGATTATAAAAAATGATTGACACTACTGCTGTTTTCAGTGAGCTTATCTTATTGGAAAGATAAGCAAAAATGAACATTTAGGAAGCATGATGAAATCAGTGATAACTGATTGTTACACAAAATATGCTAAAAATAAGAATAGAAGGTAATGGTAGATATTTCATGTTGATTTTATTTTTTTCACTATTTTCTAAGTGTCTTATATTGAAGGTATATTTCTTGTGGATTTGGAACAAAGAGTAAATATTATGTTTTTAGATGCAGCACATGCTAAGTTCACAAAGTAGTCAAAATATTTAGAATAAGGAATCAAAAATGGCTAAGGTTAATCATGGAAAGCTTTCTGGGAAGAGCATGTAGTTCTTTATGTACATTAGTTAACCCCAGTTTGGGCCTGTTATTTTTTGATGTGGCCTCATTTCTTTTTTTTTGAGTTGAGGTCTCACTCGGTCGCCCAGGCTGGAGTGCAGTGGCAAACTCACGGCCACCCCAGCATTAACATGCTGGGCTTCAGTGATCTTTCTGCCTCAGCCTTCCAAGTAGCCAGAACTACAGGGTGTGTACTACCACGCCTGGCTAATTTTTGATTTATTGTAGAGACAAGGTCTCCCCAAGTTGCCCAGGCTGATCCTGAACCCGCAGGCTCAGGCAATCCACTTGCCTTGGCCTCCCAAAGTGCTGGAATTACAAGCTGAGCCACTGAGTCAGGCTCTCATTTCTTTAATTTAGTTACCTTAAGTCATTTAGGTGATCGATAAGAGGTCATCAGGCCCACCATGCTGGAAATCTCAAAAATAGAGGAGTGTTATTTGTGTTTTGTAGGTTGCTTCATGTGCGAAATGGAAACTGCAAGTATCATTTGGGTGAAGAAACATTTAAGTTAGCGCAGACATATATGGATAAACTATCAAAACATGGCCAGCAAGCAAACAAAGCTGCACTCTATGGAGAACTGTGTGCACTCCTCTTTGCAAAAAGTCACTATGATGAGGTAAGTGTTTTGAGATACATTTCATTGTGACTAGTAAGTACCTATAAAACAGGATAAATCAAATAGTCTTCTCTTGTTTTTCTTATAGTTCTCATTTTTGCATATTAGGTTTATTTAAAGCGGCACACATTTGTAATGGAATTTTAAAAATCAGACGAAAGGATTTTTTTGTGACATGCATTTTAAATATATACGTGTACAATTTAGAGCCAGTTTTGTTTTTTGTTTTTCTTTTTTTAATTTGACCAAATGTGTGGATGTTTCGATGGGTTTGTTCTGTTAATTGAACATTTTATGGGTGCTTTTTATTTGATCTATACCTCTGGATGAACTCTTACAGTTTGAAGGCATTCCTTTCAATGGGAAGCCAGATTTTATTTATACCTTTTTGCATCGCCTTGCTCCTTCCTCTGCCTTATTAAAAAGATAACTTTATTTCCGACTTTATACTATTCAATTAATGCTTCAGGGCTGATCAGCATGTAGTTGAGAGATGATCTAGGTGTGCTTAGCTCCTTTGCTTGCTTGCTTTATTTATGGAAGAATATCATAATTGCTTCATGCTATATGATAGCTGTCATTTAGCTTTCAAGTTTTAAAATTATTCCTATCTTGATTTTTGCCTAATCAGTATAAATGTATATATTCCGTATTTAGGGAAAAATTACAATTATAAGTGAAACCAGAAAATTCTAGAATAACTAAAGTGACATTTGTACAACCCAGATGCTAGGATTATCCTCTTTATACTGTCTGCATAAGAATGTATCAAGGCCAGGTGTAGTGGCTTACGTATGTAGTCCAAGCTACTAAGAAAGTGAGGCAGAGAATTGCTTGAGCCCAGAAGTTCAAGTCTATAATGCATTATGATCATGTTACCGTACTCCAGTCCTCATTTCTTAAAAAAAAAAAATGCGTCAGGCCAGGTGGGTTGAATCATGCAGTAGAATCACTTGAGCCCAGGAGTTCGAGACTGACCTAGGCAATATAGTGAGACCTTCTCTCTACAAAAAAATTTTAAAAACCAGCCAGGTATGGTGCCACACACCTGTAGTCCCAGCTACTTGGGAGGCTGAGGCAGGAAGAGTGCCTGAGCCCAGGAGGTCAGGTCTTTCTGTAACATAGAGTGATTTATATTTGCCATTCTTTATTTCCTTCTCAGCTTCAGGACCACCTTTAAGTGTCCAAAACCAATAATGTACTCAGTAGAACAAAATTGTCTTTTACTTAACCAGTTTGCACTTTCTTTACTAGGCTCCTATAACTTAAATGACAGTTATTTTCTTTTTACATTTAGATTAAGGGGTTTATACTATGCCTTATTCATGGTTTTTGCAACTCTCAGCACATTCATGAGGAATGTTGAAGTCTTAGATACTTTTGACAGTTTATTCTTTTAATGAGAAGTAAATGAACTTTTCATTGATATCTACAAAAAAATACACAAATTTTGAGGACATAGTTTAATGAATTATTTTGTATTCGTCAAGATAGGCTGGGCTGTGCTGAAGTAATATCAACCCCAGAATAGTAGTGGCTTGGAACAATAAGAGTTTCTTACTCGTGCTATGTCCCTATCTTGGGATGACTTTTGCTGTACATAACATTATATCTACACTTTGATCAAGACCCAGTGTAGTTTTGGGTCTATCTGGAGCATCACTAGCCTTGATACATAGGTGAAAACTTCATGGGGAAGTACTGCTGGCTTTTAGAAACTTCTCCTAGAAATGGCTTGTTTCACTTCACATATTTTAACTGGCCAAAAGAAATCACATAGCCACACTTGTCTTTTTTTTTTTTTGAGTTGGAGTCTCACTCTGTCACCCAGACTGGAGTGCAGTGGCCGCTCCCGGCCACCGCAGCCTCGACCTGCTGGGCTCCGGCGATCCTTCCGCCTCAGCCTTCCAAGTAGCTGGAACTACAGACGTGTGCTACCACACCCGGCTCATTTTGATTTATTGTAGAGATGAGGTCTCACCAAGTTGCCCAGGCGGGCTCAGGCAATCCACTCACCTCAGCCTACCAGAGGCGTGGGATTACAGGCTGAGCCACTGAGCCTGGCTGCCACACTTGTCTTTAACGTAGGAGAAAAGTATGTCCTTCCCAAAGAGGAGACGGGGCGGGATGGTAAATATTTTAAAATAGTGTTACGGGTCTACCACAATGCTAAGAATTTTACCGTATTTATTTGGAACAAAATTAGCTTTTTTAGTATCTTACAAGCACAAACCAGGTTTTTTGGCCTAAATGTGAGTCAAATAAGTAACTTTTATTTCATTTTTGCATTAACATTTCTTCTGAATAGCAGTATCTTCCAAGTGAAATGGAAGAGAAGAAAACTTGCAGAAAAGAATACATATTTACTTTCTAATATTTTCTAATGTGTTCTGCCCTGTTCCTTGTGATACCTTCATAATATTGTTTTGTTCATAACAGTTATCACTATCCAAGATAATTTATTTTGCTTATTTATTTTCATTCTCCCCCTAAGCACAAGGAAAGAAAGGACATTTTTTGTTTTGTTTCCCACTACATACATAGATACCAGCACATTACCTGCTATTTAACCTCTCTGCGCCTCAGTTTCTCATAGTAATAATACATATCTCATAGGGCTTTGTGTCAATGAAATGTGTTAATGCACATAAATCACTTAAAACAGTAGCTGGCACAAAGTAAACACTCAGTTAGACAAGTAATTCATATATAAAATAATAAACGTTACAGTAGGACATAAAGTATAGAAAAATATGGGAAATCTAGTCTAGGGCTGAAAACTAAATGATAAATTAGGTGAATTAAGGGATTGTAGGAAGGGGAAATGTATTCTAAGGCAGAAGGAACACTGTGTGCAAAGGCTTCTGGGCAAGCGAGAACATGCTTTTGATTTCCTGAATATAGGTCATGTATCTACCAGGTCGGCTTCACACAAGCTATAGAGATCAAGAATAAAAATAATGTAACAAGTTTATGCTTTCAAGAAAGTGTAGCCTAAGAACATTTTACATGTAAATACTTTGTGTGTGTACATAAGCACTTGACAGCTTGCAGAAAAAATTTGCAGTCATTTTGTTAAATGTTGTCAATTTTGATTTATCACAGTTCTTTCTCTTTCATAAATACTTGCTTTTTTAGGCATACAAATGGTGCATTGAAGCGATGAAAGAAATCACAGCAGGCTTACCAGTCAAAGTTGTGGTGGATGTTTTAAGACAAGCTTCTAAGGTGACTAGAATGCTGAAGTTATTAAATGAATAATAAGATTTATCAGCATTAAATTTGTTTTAATTAGTCTGTTTATCATACTAATTGTTATATACTCCATGGACATAGATCTATTTTTAAGTGTTCTGTGCTCATTTGTAGAAATCAAACTATCCCATATACACTTTAGCTAATTTTCCTTTACCAGGAAAACCTGTGAAATAATTAGTTTTGGTAATTGTTTTAGCTCACTGAAAGAACAGATCATAGTAGTATTTGGATGCTATTCTGACTTGAATTTGTTTTTGTTTTTCTTAAATATTTATGGCAACCTGAATTCCTTATGCCAAAATTGTGTGAACTTTGGTCACTTTTCTCCTAAAGTATAGCCTAGTATCAAATTTTTTTTGTCATAATATTGCAGTCTCACGGCAAGGCAGCTTGCTATACTTTACAAGCTAGGCAATCTTTATTTAATTTTTCTCTAGTTTTTTTCTTACTCTAAATAAATGCATTGACTCTTTGAGATCTTTTAGTAGTATTTAAAAACTGCTTTTTTGGGGCAGTGAAGACTTAAAGCATTAATGAACTTTTCAGATATACTGTTTCTTTTTTTTTTTTTTTTTTTTTTTTTT